TCGATTTCGTGACCTTTGATCTCGAATAACTTACGACGCAGACACGAGATAATATGAGACTTTTGAGACAACTTTTAGAACACCAAAATGAAGTATACGAGTTTCCAGCTTATTATCTCAAATTCCGAGGTGAAACCCTAAAGTGACTGGACTACTTCACGGTTATTCACTGTACATTTCCTTCATAAGTTTGTCATCCAAGTGCAAGATGACAAACTTCTCAGGCCCCTGAAACTAGTGTAAAAATCTCATTTTGCCAAAGAGTGTAGAGATTGTTTATGACTTTCTTTTTCCCTAGTAGGGTATGCCAGCCTTGCCAGTAAATGAAGTTATCATCCAGTTATGGCTGAGTACAGAACCATTGCTGGATGATAACTTCCTGTCAGTCCCAATACTGGCCCAATAATGGTCCTGTTGTATGTTCCTACTAGGGTTGTTTGACTAATTGTAATTATAAACACCAATGCGAAAAGTTGAAATTTGGAATGACGTAGGCTGTTTCAGTCTGAATTAGTAGTCTAAACAATTCAGTTCCTTGTCGGACATTATACAGCCTAAACAATTGATAAATTTATTATTTTTATATTTATATTGAATAATTGGTTGGCTGTATTAATTTAAGACCAATTCCATGTTTAACAAAGGTTATAAGTTATAGAAATGAAATTTATTTATAATTAAATAATCATGGACATGCGTTGCGATTCTGTTTTAACATGAACTATTTATGTGAAGGAAAGTTTAAAGTTCGGATTTCTGAACGCAATTTAAAGTGACATTGGGGTTGACATTCGAGGTTATCAACCCGTTCTATTTGTTATTGTTTACAAGGATTTGCTCAGTGCTACAAAAAAAGGTGTTACAAGTATAAAGAAGATCCCTCTATGATTGAGGTTGTTTTTCATGTGCCACTTTTTAAATCTCCACGTGCGCGTGGGTCAACATATTGTAACGACTGTGCTAACGACTTTTTCGTCAATAAAACAACAGTGAGATACTTTGAATATATATCATATCACGTAGATTGTTTCAAATCAGTGTTCTATTGCTCTGTATGTGATGGTGCTTGTTTTATTAATTATAATTTTAAGGATTTTTTTTGTATTTGCTATCTTGCCAAAAGACTTCTTATCTGAGAGCTTTAAGAATAGTAGCAGGGTTGGCTTTGATTTTATATTGCAGTAGCGTATGCCAGTTGCCGAGTGGTGCCATTGGAGATGATTCTGCTCTACTACCTTACTATAAAAATGTTATCCACTTATACCTAATATAAGTAACACTATTGTATTTTATACTGTATGACACCGCAATCAAAATGACAGTAACGATATTGAATTTGAAATAATGTATCTTTATTAATTTTATAAGTGACGACATGATTTTATGTGAATGTTGCTAAGTACTTCTGTTAAATGCTGATGAGTTTCTAATGCACAATTTTCTCATCAGCTAATAGATGTCTAGAAAAAATATTGGATAATTCAAAAGAGCTTTAACAATTGAGAGCTATTAACGGGATTGTTACCATGTACCTGTTTTTTATGAGTCTCCGATATTTAACAATCCCGTTAATAGCTATAATGTTAGTGACCATGAAAGTTTAAAACGAGCTATAACAAGTCAATTTGAATAAAGTAGGCTTAATTTTAACCCATATAGACCTACCGTACCTTATATGGTACAGTAACTTTCTTAAATAATTGCATCGTACCTGAGGGTAGATTTGATTTTATTATTTATGCGAATGAACGAAGACTATATAAGGCTTTAGTTTATAATAGACAAAAACGTATTTAGTTTCAGTATTTTTAAGTTTTCATTGGGGTTTGTCGGAAAAACAATAGAAATAATCTACTATGGTTTCGAAAAGGTAAGTTCCACAATATTTATAATTGATTATATTATTTAGTAGTTTTTTTGTGAAGTTTAGAGTGTAAATAAATGTTTGAAGAACAAAAATGTTTTACAATTTATTTATATCAGATATATTTAATAAATCAATTAGGTGTACCATATGCGGTACAATAGGTTTATGCATAAGCAAAATAAACGGCAGCCATATGTTTTTAGATTTTTGTGTTTCATGGTTTTAGGTCATTGACGATTTACGATATTGCTTCAAATCTTGAGGAAGGTGATGGTTTTTACGACCAGGGTCAAGATATTGACATTTTTTACTGCCGCCTGATGACCTTTAGTCTTCATCAGTCTGGTCACCGCCAACGATGATCAGACTGATGAAGACTCTGGCAAAGAAGATGTCGGTAGACATAAACAATTTGCCTCCAAGTTTACTTCGAGCACCAGCAGTACCTACTGCTTTTAGAGAAGAATCGGACGAACCATGTGAATCTCAAGAACCCTTGTAAAAATGTGTAAAACCATATAATTGGAGAAAAAGAGGCTTATAATCTAAAGCCATTACTGAGCTACCAGTTTATCATTTTCCAATAGAAAGAAGTCCGATAGAATGGTTTACCTTGCTCTTTTCTGATGATGAGTTGCTGACGACAGAAAACAAATAAGTATTTAGAACAAAACTTCTTTCTGCTGATGTCAAGACGGAAAAAATGAAAGGTTTAATTGGAATTCTGTTAGTGGCTACTCAGCAGTCAAGTCAGCAGAAGAAATATGCTTAGAGAAAATAACAAAAAAAAATTCTGTGTCTCAGCTACATCTCATTTACCAAAAAACAAAAACTGGGGGGGGGGGGGGGGGCGAAAGTGCAGGCGATTAATATCGATACCCATGTCTTCCGTCTTCATTACAAATTGACGGTGATTGTTCTTCTGGTGTTTTCGCTGCTGATCACCTGGAGGCCGTTCTTCGGAGATCCTATGGAGTGTTACTTCCCAGACTTCCCTACCATGTCCCTGAACACCTACTGTTACATCCATTCCACGTTTCTTGTCGTTCCATTGGAGAAAAAGCCAGTGCCTCAAAAGTTACCATATCTTGGAGTTGCCGCGCAGACGGAGAAAGACACCGTAAAGTTCTACGACTACTACCAGTGGGTCTTCGTCGTATTGGTTGCACAAGCAGTACTCTTCTACTTGCCGCATTATATATGGAAAGTATGGGAAGGTGGACTAATGAAAATGTTAGCGGTGGACCTGTCATCTCCAACGATAAGCGCAGATCGCGTCAACAAAAATACGGACGTATTGTTAGAATATTTCCAAAAGCAGCTGCATTTGCACAACAGTTATGCCTTTAAATATTTTTCATGTGAACTGTTGAATTTGATAAACATCGTATTTCAAATATTATTTATGAATATGTTCCTTGGCAACGAGTTCCAATACTATGGACTTTATGTTTTAGCTGTCAACTGGAAGGAAAGACTTCGAGAAGAGATGACAAACCCTATGCAATGGCTGTTTCCTACTGTGACCAAGTGTACTTTTAAGAAATACGGTCCCTCTGGATCTGTAGAACTAAGAGACGGACTGTGCGTTCTTACACAGAATTCAGTTAATCAGAAAATGTATGTGTTTTTGTGGTTCTGGTTCCACATCTTAGCTGCTATAAGTGCATTCGTTATTATGTATCGTATATTTACATTAGTTTTTCCTTCAGTCAGATTGCGCAGCTTCCGGTCTACGTGCAGTCTGAATAGTGCTAGAGACATTAACGTAGTGTTTGACAAGCTATGGATAGGGGATTGGTTTTTGCTATGCATGTTGCAACGGAATATTAATTGTGTAGCCTACAAGGAGCTTATATTCCGTATAGCACGGAGTTGCGACTCCAACATTTGTTCAATATGTTTAGAAGGTATTTCCAGAGAAATAACAAACTTTGTCAGTTACAACTCTATCAAGCACAGTTTCAATTGTTTACATCTCTATCAACAACTGTATCATTAAAATTTCTTGTATTTACAACTTTTATAAAATCCTAAAACTAAATACTTGTGTTTAGTCACGTGGTTATTTTTGTTTTTTTAGAAAAGTTCTGAATGATGGAGATAATTTAAAGAGAGGCTCATCCTCTGTTATTTTCTGGTTTTGCGGTCGCTTCTTTTTCTCGGCTTTCTTCAGAGCTCCTTTCACGGATGGAGGTAATTTATATCGAGGCTTGTGTTTCATAACCTATTTACGACTTGAGTGTGTGTGTGTGTGTGAGTTCCAAATTAGGTAATCTAATTTTTAATAGACTGATGTAGGTTTAATTTATTTACAAATAGCTATTTGAACATTACATCGCTTACAGAATTCCATTATTATGTCATGGGTGTTTCATTGCGATATGGGAGCCATAAATATAAATTTTCCTCAATTAAATAAAACTAAATAAACAATAACTTAGGTATAGTTCAAACAGTTTCATTTTGAATAATACAAAGTAACTAATTATATACAATATAATTTTAAGGTAGAAGTATACTATTTGTGGCCACTTAAAATTTAAGTCAATATATATAGAAAGTTATAATAGTGATTTGGATATAAAGTGCCCAAAAACGGTACTTTTACCCTACTACTTAAAGTAAAGAGATCTTTTTACAGCCAGTACTTATAAACAACTTAACAAAAACTTAGCGATACATCATTTAGCTAAATTCTTAATAAATGAGACAGCTTTTTGGACGGACGATGTCTTTGTAACGTCTTTCACTTTGATTGAGTCTAAATACACTTTTATTGCTTCATAACAGAAATAGTATTGCGAAGGGTTGAAAAGACAAATGAAACCGTTGTTCGCGAATATGGGATACTATGGATGGGATAGAAATTTTTTGGGTAGAGTTAAATTTTGAAATAGTAATGTCCACTGTACAGTAACACGGGGTTCTTCCTAACCCCGCGTTGCAATGCAACGACGATTGGCGGTGGTTGGGAACGATTATGGCCATTCTTGAGCGATTCTTCATAAAGATGTTTGTCATTTCGCTTCACCTCCAGAACGAAGTCTAAAAACTGTGATATATCTGAAGGCAAACCATGGTCGGGCCATGCCATATAGTTATAGTGCGTCACTATTTGACTGGCATCGGTTCAGTCTGTTAAGAGCAATGTCGTCTTAACGTAATGAGGGAAACGTTCGATTTTAGTAGTAGTCACCTTAAACTTTTGGAAGTTCAACGACGATTGTTCCTCCTCACTCCAGTAGGGAAAACATTTTTCTTTGCCCCCTTCTATTCTATGCAAATCCATTTACATAGTTCGCATTGATATATGTTCCCCGATTCTTTTCATTTGGCAAAACCACTCTGGAGTGATCAAAACAAACACAATGGCCGAATCGATTCAAGCACGAGTTGTTTTCGCTGGCTTCAAAGGTTCCGGAGATCTTCTCGCTGATAACTTGTTTATGCTCGGTTTTGATTACTTCTTCGCGGTCCCTGCATTCCATTAGCGCCATGAAGTCAGCGTATTTCAGATCCTTATAGGGCGTAGCCATGGTGATCGTCAAATATACAAGTCCAATTATTATAAATAAATCAAGTTGACACGTCCTTCACTCACGAGTTGTTCAGTAATTACTGAATGTGTAGCCATACATATGGGCTTTAATAATATTTTGTGCTAGGTATTATAAAAAATATTAGTTGCTATCAACTACTTAAATAAAAGATAACCGCAACAGTAACTATACTACCATTAAACGCCTAATTAAATCACGTCATCTCTGTTTTAAATTACGATAACGTTCAATATGTGGTTTACGACGTAAATAATTAATAATTGTAAATAACTGTTGGAGAATCCGTTGTGGGTATTTCCTGACCTTTTATCGCAATTGGAAAAACATATTAATAATATACATTAGGTTCCCGATAATGAGATAGTATAAATATCGCTCTCACTATTGAACTGTGTCAGTCATATAAAATAGTTTTAAAAAGGCGGTAAACAGTACTTATTTAAAACAATAACTTTCAGAACAAGTATGGAATCCGATAAGTTGTTTGAAATGTTAAGCACCAGGAATAATTTGGGAGAAAACTTTTTCCACGAGGCATGTCGAGCAAGATCAATAGCGCTTCTTCAGAGAGCGGCAGAATGGGTAGATCACCAATTCCAACGATCTTGGCTACAAAAAACAATGATGGTGAACAGTGTACCCATAAAATTGTTAAATGCAAAGAATATTATGCAGCTGACATGATGAAAATCGTCATGTATCTTGGGGCTGACATCAACGGCCGAGAAGGACTTGGTGGATTCACTCCGCTTCATTTGTGTGTCTGGGAGAAAAATTATAAACTTGCCGAATGGTTGTGCAAAGTACCAGGCATCAATCTAGAAGCCGAAAATTATGCTGGACAAACAACATATGATTTAGCCTATGAAAGAAACGACTATGAAATGATGAAAATAATTTTGGAAAACTCTATTGAAGCCAAGTCTGATCCATCAAGTGTAAAAGACAGTTAAACGTCGGTAAACAGTACTTATTTAAAACAATAACTTTCAGAACAAGTATAGAATCCGATAAGTTGTTTGAAATGTTAAGCACCAGGAATAATTTGGGAGAAAACTTTTTCCACGAGGCATGTCGAGCAAGATCAATAGCGCTTCTTCAGAGAGCGGCAGAATGGGTAGATCAACCAATTCCAACGATCTTGGCTACAAAAAACAATGATGGTGAACAGTGTACCCATATAATTGTTAAATGCAAAGAATATTATGCAGCTGACATGATGAAAATCGTCATGTATCTTGGGGCTGACATCAACGGCCGAGAAGGACTTGGTGGATTCACTCCGCTTCATTTGTGTGTCTGGGAGAAAAATTATAAACTTGCCGAATGGTTGTGCAAAGTACCAGGCATCAATCTAGAAGCCGAAAATTATGCTGGACAAACAACATATGATTTAGCCTATGAAAGAAACGACTATGAAATGATGAAAATAATTTTGGAAAAGTCTATTGAAGCCAAGTCTGATCCACCAAGTGTAAAAGACAGTAAAACGTCGGTAAACAATACTTATTTAAAACAATAACTTTCAGAACAAGTATGGAATCCGATAAGTTGTTTGAAATGTTAAGTACCAGGAATAATTTGGGAGAAAACTTTTTCCACGAGGCATGTCGAGCAAGATCAATAGCGCTTTTTCAGAGAGCGGCAGAATGGGTAGATCAACCAATTCCAACGATCTTGGCTACAAAAAACAATGATGGTGAACAGTGTACCCATATAATTGTTAAATGCAAAGAATATTATGCAGCTGACATGATGAAAATCGTCATGTATCTTGGGGCTGACATCAACGGCCGAGAAGGACTTGGTGGATTCACTCCGCTTCATTTATGTGTCTGGGAGAAAAATTATAAACTTGCTGAATGGTTGTGCAAAGTACCAGGCATCAATCTAGAAGCCGAAAATTATGCTGGACAAACAACATATGATTTAGCCTATGAAAGAAACGACTATGAAATGATGAAAATAATTTTAAGAAAAGTCTATTGAAGCCAAGTCTGATCCACCAAGTGTAAAAGACAGTAAAACAAGTAGTGATTATAAAAGTTTTAATTAAAAGCTTAGTGGAGAAGCTAAATGTTTAAATGTTGATTTATAACAGTTTGTATTTAGAAATAAGTTAATCTAGACATCTAGATTTAAATTTTTTTATACATATTAGCTAATTTTAGTACTAAGTGGGATATGCGCTTAAGTAATAGTGGATACAAGCAATTAGAAAATTTTTTATTTTACTAAAAAACCAGTGCCGTGACATATTAGAATAATCATATCAGATTTTCCGTGCATAATAAGTTAAATACTTTTAAAGCGCACACTTAATAAATAAGAAATGTCTCTTAATTTTAATCAATTTAAATTAAAACATATATGACGTAACACAACTATTATTTCATTGACTATTAGATCTTATTTTCTGAGACCTTTTAAGCTTCTGGGTTGGGACGTCTACAGACTTTCCTAATGGAAGTTTTCTGTTAACAGAGCGTCTTGCCCGATCTTTTGAACTATCTTAGTTAACATACCTATTTCTAAAACATCTTCTTGGGCGATCATATTGGCTAAACGATTAGCTTTCCTCTGCAAATGCCGGTCACGCGCGATGATAAGGAGATTGCTCGTACACTCGGGACAACGGTCCATCACCATCCAGAAGTTTGTCTCATCCATAGACAAAAAATACTGCAAAGAAAATAGTAAACTTGAGTAAAAAATTCACAAGTCAACGAGATTTAAAGATAAGTAGATTATCTCCAAAGAAAACACATACCTCTAAAAGAGAAATAACATTTCCAGCAGAGTTTCGTGGTGTTCTACGTGGTAGGTTCCTTATGAGCCAGATCATTGTATTTATGCATTTGTAAGAGAGCATAGCAAATAAAGGGTCATCAGGTTTAAATTAAATCAAAATCAAGCAGCCAATAACCAAACATGGCATCTTCTACATATGAGAGACCTGAGTGGATTAAACCGTTTAATCCACTCAGGTCTCTCATATGTAGAAGATGCCATGTTTGGTTATTTGGCTGCTTGATTTTGAACCTAAAATAAATAGTAACAATTTAGGTAACACATAGTTAAGAAGCGAACAAGTGTTTACCCTAATTCAATAAATTATTAATGTAGTTTCATACTTATAGTTAAAAGCACTTTCACTCGTCAAGAGTAGTCGAATGAACAATGCTTCCAAATAAAAACATAGTAATTGGTGTGTTCAAATGTAATTAGTTAATTACGTTGATTTACAAATCTATAAAACCAGATCCTGCAAACTTTAACGAGTTTGCGTGACGCACAGCACTATTATATTTACATTCAAATATGTACTGTATAGATTCAAGATAAGGTTTGTTTTTCACTAAAGTTTTGGTGCTCATCGGAAATCCAATTTATGTCGCTAATTTGCCCTTACTCTAATATCACAATAATGTTTAATATCACAATAATGAATGATAACATCAGTCGTTTACCTACAAATATTTAAAGATTAAAATCTGCTTATTTTGGTACATTGTCAAACGCTAAATGAGTCATTAAACTTGAGAAGTAATAACCCTTTTATCGAATCATAATATGTTTCTTAGAAATGACGTCACTTTGAACAGTTATTTAGATGGTGTTGAAAGGGTAGTTTTTATTTCTCGTATATCCGGTAACACTATCAAAGCTATTAAATAGTTTCTAAGAAGTGACGTCACATAACAGAAACAATGATGGAATTTAGTGACGTTGAGGGGGTAGTTTATCACATATAAATAAATGTTTTTATATGTTGCAATTTTCGAAGAATATTTCCTAAAACGGAGGGAATAACTACGTAGTTGATGAGTTTAAAAGCGAGAAACTTCGGTATCAGGTCATCATTCAAAAATTGAACTCTTAAGTGAATAGTGAGAAAGTGCTAACAAAATACTGCTCAAAATGGATGTACATGAATATTATAATCTAATTGCTACAATTGAAGAAGCATATGAGGAACTTTTGAAACTCGATGCTGTAAGTGATGATGTGATTCAGCGGTGGTGCAATATATGCACAGACAATATCGCGTATTTGAATTCAGTGTTATTGAATCCTCAGACAAGTGTTCATGAAAAACAATCGCTGCAAACAATCATCATTTTATTGCATGCACTTCATGACAAAATCTGTCAATTAAGTGGACAATTCTTTGTTCTGGCGACCATCTTCCTCGCCAGAACTTCTCAATGTCAATAGGGAAATACGACTTAGACCTTCCAGTTACGCGCTGGCTGCTCTTTCAATTAAGCTATCTCTCCATTCAATATAATTCACTTCAAATCGCGCCTGTATTTGTCTAGCGTGGCTCCTCCTTTGGTCTGCGCCGTCCCTCATACGGCCTAAATAAATTTATTTACAAATTTAATGTGTCCCAGCACAAATAATTTATTTTTGAAGGTGTCCCCAGAACGGAACTCCATCCATTATTTCTATTATATATCAAACCTTAATAGGATTCTGCATTACTCAATAGGTTAAACTCCTCCACCGTCCAATAATGAATAACCTTTCTTTTTTTTTAAGCATTGTATTAATTGGAAAGTGGAATCCTAATAGGGAATATTGCGATGAGAAAATATTTTTTAAGTCACATTTTCCTTTTCAATCTATTCATTCCTCATAAAAATTTGGAAAAAAGTTCCATGTAAAAAAATATCAAATCCTGTTGAGGAATATTGTCCCTGGAAACCCTAAGTCGTATTTTGTTTTTTAATTTATTTACTTTCTATAGAAACATGAAGAAATCAGACTAATGAAAAAATATAAAATCGTATTAAAATTTCCAATAGTAAAGAAATATTTTCTATGCCGTATTATTTTATTAAATCATCTTCTTTTCTATTTGTTCAATTCAACAAAAAGGATAAGGACTTTGCCGGGTCTCAATAAATAAAAAGGACAGTGAGAGTACGTTTTGTACTGGCTAGCTTTATTATAAACAACTGCTTAACACTACACTACATGAATAATACACAGAGATAACAATACTGAAAAATTGACTGCACGTTAGACCACGATATGGTCTCAGAATTGTTCTCGTACAATGCTTTGTTGATTTGGTCAGCACGCCACAGGTTGTAAATCTGTGGTGGAGATCTGATCTCACTTGACTCTTCTCTCTGGGGAATACTATGGCACTATACCCGTGATTTGGTCACTAAAACTGAGTTGCTGAACTTTGCTGATCAGAACTGAATAAATCTCAACTCTTTCAACTATGATTAGCCCTCAAAACTCTCTATAAACTCTTAAACGAAAAGGGAACGCTTTGTACTCTCGAACGACTACAATGCAACTGCCATGACGTTAGCCAAGGCGCTTAGGTACAATTTCACGCCGCTCGAAGCGCTGCTGCCACGTTGAGGCGTGAGATTAGTGCTCTAGTGAAGTGGCTCTAAATTTAAATGATGGTATTTGATCATGTTGATCAAACACTATTGAAAAATATAGAAATAAGTTCTATTAAAAAGCATCGAATTTAATCGGACTTAACCTCGGCTAAGTTAATCGGTTTCAAATTTAAAAAATGGGTCTGGACGCACTTTGCGCCCACACGACGAACTTCCCATTATTCTCTTTTCATGAATAACATTATTTTGTCAAAAACATCCAAGTCCATGGGATAGATGCATTAGTTAATCGATAAATACAATTTTCAATTGTTTATAACAAATTCCATTGTTATAAACAATTTGTATTCGTTAAAAGTCATATTTGGTTGTGAACAATAATCTCTTGTCAATGTCGACTCAACTTTTGAATGAAATTGTTATCCTTTTGCTTAAAAGTATTTAAAATAGTTAACCTTTTCATTTATTCATTATCAGTTTTTTTGTTATAAAAAAAAACGGCTCCATCGAATTTGTTCAAACTTCTTTCAGATCTTCTTTATAACAATATCTTTCGAATAAATTGTTGAAGTCGATATCTCGATCCGTTCTTGAGATATCGAAAACGAAAAAAATGCTGACATCCATACGTACGTACGTACGTACGTACACACACACATCATTCTAAAAATTGGCCAGTATGCTTGCAAATATCTTGAAACGTGAAGATATGATGGAAATTCACATTTCACCAATCGACCCGATTACAATAACTTCCTAATGGGAAGTTAATAACATCCTTTCACGTTTAAAATCTCTTTCAGATGATTTCGTTGACAAAGCTTGTTGCGAACACCCTAATCAACGGTTGACTGGTTCTCAACAATCAAATTTTGTATAATCTTGAATAAATCGTCTTTGAACGTTAAGCGTCTACTGAGCTATTTTATTTCAATTTTAGTCTCGATTAAATGTTTTCTGCAATTCGGAGAACTTCTAGCTCAAAGTTTGATGCATCTGTGACTATTCTGATATATTTGAATAGAATATAATTAAGGTGAAAATAAATGTAGCATTTTTGATAATCTTGAAGGACAGGGCTTGAAATGTTAAATTCCGAAAACATCAACAGGATTTTCCCGGACTTTAAGCCTTTGATAGTCGACAGAATAATTTAGATGTCTGGGAATAAACAATAGAAGTAACCTGTCCAAGAGGGATTTATCTGAAATACAAAAGAAACGTCTGTTTACAAAGAAGGACTTGGAAGCTGAGCCCTGCGTCAGAAAGTTCCAATAAAATGTCATGTATAACATTTCTATTTTCATTAAAACTCTGTTTCACTTAAATAAAAACAATCTTTTCGCCACCTTTTTGACATTCAGAAAACTTTATTTTTTTTGTTACAATGAAGATAAGTTTTTATTGGCCTGAAGATTTGTTCTCAGTATTTAAAGGAAATTGCTTGCTATCTTTAATTTACCACATTTATTTTCATGCTCTTGTTTTTTCGTACTCTATCCCTTTTCACAAACATGGAACCATTGTTTGGTCTATGAACTTGACGAATGCAATAAAAAGGTTACAATTAATTGGTTAAATGACCCTACTGTAGGATCATAAAACAAATTGCATGCAAATTTTAAAACTTTTTAAGTAGCATTCTGCCCACTCCTAAGTACATGACCTGAAGTGAAAACCCTAGAGCTTTACCTAATTAATTAACAAGAATGCAAGTGGATAATAAATTCGTCTACTGAGATAGTAGATTGATTACTTTGATAACTTGTGCACAAAGTAAACGATAAATAGTTAGCAACTAACTATTCTAGATAGCTATGAAATATGGCTAATTATGGGCCTGATTATGTGTTATTATAGACGATTGTATTAGAGTATTTTCGCATCGGTCTTGACCTATCCTCCTACCTGTTTCCCTGCGGTCAACCACCTGTTGCTCACTAGGGACCTTGATATGATTCTATTTCCTAAATCTGAATTCACCCTGAATTCTCGTAAATACATGTCATAACGGTTTGTATCTTGTGAAGATAAAAATTAACTGAAATTGGGTAGAATTCTTTATTTATATCACCTTGTAAATATTGAAATTCCCTGAAGAATAACAAATTATTTTGTTGACGTGAGATAAGATACTATTCCGACAGTGACATCATTGAAGTAAAACACTTATCACAATAGCTGAAAATCCCAGCTAATAGCAATAAATCTGTTTATGTTTATGACTTCTCCAGAGGTAATTAATTTAATAAGTGGAACTAAAATTTACGACAAAAGCATGCGTTTTATATCCTTTAGAATCATTAATGCTAATTTCTAAGTAACTATGGACAGGTATGCGTGGAGATATGCGGATGGTTACTTTTATGAATAAAGTAATTGAAGAGAGTTTATTGCTGTGATCGCATTAAATTTACATATTTTTCATGTAGAAAACAGGGTTAGGTCAGTATCGTACGACACCATAACGATT